ACACACAAACACACACACAGACAACCCCGTAACAAAATGCGTTTTGTACTGCTGTTACACAGCACAAAACGCATAAAAACTAGCCGGAAAACAGTAGCTGAAATTTTTCAGAATATCTATCATTCATGTGGAAAATCGCATCTGAGTCTCAATTTGCAGTTGCGTCACGTCTTGGGGCACTTCGAAGATATTTGTAACGAAGCAGCTACTTTGCTTACCAGGCAAGCTGCGAAGCTGAAACTTTGCAGGGACATTCGCTATTCACGTGTGATCTTAATTCATCCTGGAGATGAAATTCCGTGCAAGTATGACATATACTCAATTAAACAAAAATAAGTGCGTTTTGCAGATTGCTTCATTCTCTTCGGATTTTTTTTCAAATTCGCATTTTTTTCAGTTGATGAGAATTTACTAGAAAAACCACCGGTTTTCATGTAAAAACCTGACAATCATGCACGCTGAGAGCCATGCGACTTCGCAATGCAATACATTCATCTCAGCCGACGCCCTTTCCCCTGCATGGAAGAAGATACCAAAACACAGCCAGTATGAGTCTAAGTGTTAAAGTTCAGCGCAGGAAACATTCCTGCTGTTAGCTATCTGCAAGCTTATCGCAAAAACGCATGATTGCACTGGCAACCCTGGCGCGTTGCGTTGTGATTATCTATTTTAATCCCAGTCATTCCTTAGCACTTGTTTGCTTTTTTGTTCCAGACACCAAAAATTATTTGGAGAAAAATCTGCGCCTTTAGTTCCTTATTTCAAGCTAATTCAGGCACATTACAGCTAAACATCCATAGAATAACTGTATTTCTGCAAAAACACATTACTTTTATACATCTCTTTACAATTTACTCTCTGTAAAACAATTTTTAAATCAGTACATACTTAAAACTTAGTACTGATTCGTTTTCAGACAATTTTAGATTGTTGCTAGCTGATCTTAATACCTTCATACCCCAAAACACTTCCAGACCTTGTTTCAAAGTTCTGCTTTTTCTCGAAAACATACCTGGCTCCATGTATAATTATTGACATACAAAGTTCTTTTAGTTTTGTCCAACATAATTGGTCCCATTTCATGCAGCAGCCCGTAGGCGGATGAGCAGCTTGGCCCACCGTTAAACCAGAATATCACTGGATCCGTTTTGGGATCTCTTTGCGACTCGACAAACCTATTTCAATAAATTATTTACAAATGCTGATTAACCTGAATAGATATTAATCTGTAATAGAAATAATGCTGTGAATAATTTAAAAAATTTAGAGAAGTCATGCTCTGTTGTCGACAAAGAGAATTTTTTGACGCTTTCCAACATTTCTTTTAGAAAGAAATAGCTAAAAATAATTTTCTTCCCTTTTTTTTTAAGAAACAACCGTGCTTTATAAAGTTAGTTTCTAATCAAAAAATCATTCAGCTGTACCAGTAAAACAAATGATGAGTCTTGGAAACATTGAGGAAGCCGGAGAACTGTCGAAATTTAAGATTTAAATTCTCGGTCCCCGGAAGATCCAAGATCTGTTCCTCGTATGAAATCTGGTTTCGCATGAAAATACTCAGTAGCAAACAAATGTGGAAGAAACACCACATTTGCCCCCTGTCAAATGATATCTGGCAAGAAAATATTCTAGCAAACAGCTAAATGCTATCGTCTTACAAATTTAGAAAAGAATTCAAGTCACTGGGAATAAAAGAACTCTCGAGGCATTCATTTCATTTTGATGAGGCGCTTTTCTGTTTCGATTTTATTTGTTGCTTACATTAACAGTAAGCCTTTCATCTATCAATTTTATGACCTTCGAATGACGTCCATGAATCATGCAACAGAATAAAAGCAAAGCATTTATGGAACTTGAAGAAGATCATAAAAA